AGGGTGGTCCATTGGCTGGAGCAATGGACCACCAATTCCAGATCCCTCCAGGTCTGGAATTTTCGAGGACTCTCTACACATATTTGTTAACTTCTACATAGGCTCTTCCAGGTGCCATTGTAATATATCCCCCCCACTTCCAGGTGCCATTGTAATATATCCCCCCCACTTCCAGATGCCATTGTTACCAGATCATCCATGCTATTCCCTTCACCTCTCAGTTGGTCATACTCTTATGGCTGATCGGTGTATAATTAAGAAAAGTAAGACAAGCTTTTGACTTGCAATCCCGAATAAACGTTAGGAATCCTCTTAGCATCCCAAAAGACGCCATTTTTTTCAGTTGGAGTCCTCGGAGTACTTTCCGTGGTAATTGGCGTCTCGTTAGCCTCCTCTCTGGGATTTTGCTCGAATTGTCATTCCAGTACTTAGAGCTGTAGACTGGATGTCATATGGATTTTGTGTTGTCTTCTTGACACCCGTAGACTCCGGGTTCATGTTATTTTTAGCTGTGCTGGTTGTCACAATGTTAATTCCGATCATACGACACTTGCTAAGCGATTATTCCTCCGCAGTTGTTACAAAATGTTGCTTTGTAAGCTGCCTCTTGTCCACATTGCTCGCCGTTATTGATTTGCCCGGAGGAAATGCTGCCAATGTGATGTATGTTATCCTCCTTTAAGATTCCGTGTTTTCTTCATAATGAGGCTGCCATAGGGAAGCTGTCAGAAATTTTGGGGCCCCTTACGTGGCTTTAGGCCGGGCCCCCCCCACCGCTGAACACGGGCTTAGTGACGCGCTGGACACAGGGCTTAGCGACGCACAGGACCCACCTTAGAGTGACCCTGCAGAGCCCACCATAGATGCTGCACAGCCCATCTGAGACTGTCTATGGTGGGCTCTGATGGGGTCTCAGGTGGGCTGGTCAGGGCTGCATCCCTCCCTCCTTTCCTTCCTACCTTCCTAGCTCCTCTTACCTGCACACGTGGCCTCGTCTGTCGCCGGACAGGCCAGAAGTGACGTCACGTCACTAACGTGACGTCACTTCCGCCCAGTACGACATCAGACGAGCAGCGTCGCTGATGGGGCCCCAGCTTGTCTCGAAGCCGCTGGAGCAGCAATGCTGGGGCCCTGTGCTGCTAGGGCCAGTCCTCCGCCTCCTCGCCCTTCACTGTTGGCCGATAGTCATGTAAGGGACCCGGGCCGGCCCCCCATGCTGCCCGGGCCCCTTACATGAGTATCGGCCGTACCCCCCCTGATGGCTGCCCTGGGCGGCCATATGCCTGTCACACGCTTTCCATTCCGGTGAGTGTCATCGTTACCAGCCAGCAGAAATGTCTTCTTGAGTCAGTCATAGTTTTCATTGGACATGTACGGCTGAAGAGGTCCGTCTACTTCCGATACACTGTGTACATGACTGCCCCAAAAACTGTCTATAGCACTTGAGTACATAGCACTGACATTTCATGAATTCCTCATTTGATTCCATTAAAGCTGAACTCACTCAAATGAGCACAACTGTATTTATTAATATAGCGTTACATGGCTTTTTTTTTTATTAAAGGAGAAGTATGGGGTCAGTGTTTTTCCCCATAGTTCTCCAAGGGTCACGGGAGAAAACAAACTAGCGTCCTCCCGTCACCCAAAGCTCAGTATATAGCAAGCTACAGCTCGCGGTATACTGAGACCGCCACAGCCGGGACGGATCCCGACATTACTGTCTGGATCCACCCAGCTGCGTGAGTGACAGCTGACTCTACCTATCCAGAGGCAGAGCCAGCTGTACCCGCCCCCTCCCCGTCCGTTCCACCAGTCAGCGCTGGAGGATCGGAGAGGGGAGGGGGGGGAATCCCTGCAGGGAGCCGTGAGTGACAGTCTCGGCTCTCTGCAGGGACAGGATCGAGAAGTGAGCGAGCGACGGTATGTGTTGCCTCACTTCCCGATCTATTGAGCCGACGTGTGAGACAGTTTCATTGTCACAGGTCGGCTTGAACTATGAGGATGAGTGATTTTCACTCACCTCATAGTTCTCCTTTAATGGAAACAGTGGGAATATGGCTTGGGATCAGTCTCATGCAGTCTTCTGTACAATCTGTACAGCAGAGCTCATAGAGGGGAGGGAGAGCAGCACAAGGAGCTGATCGTTTGTAGAAGAGGCATGCTGATAGGATGAGAGAGCAGAGTGAGATGGAATGATCAGTCTGCTGCTGCTTCTCCTTGTAATGTCCAGTCACAGGGTGGGGAGGAGACCTGTAAGTGAAACTGTAGCAGTGGTAGATCAGGTCGGTCCTCTCACCTGCTAAACTGGGTAGATGGTGATGGAGCAGTTGTGATCAACCACCATGAAAGGGAGATGGTAGATGGTGAGGGAGCAGTTGTAGCCTACCACCATGGAATGGAGATGTTGAGTGGTGATGGAGCAGTTGTGATCAACCACCATGAAAGGGAGATGGTAGATGGTGAGGGAGCAGTTGTAGCCTACCACCATGGAATGGAGATGTTGAGTGGTGATGGAGCAGTTGTGATCAACCACCATGAAAGGGAGATGGTAGATGGTGAGGGAGCAGTTGTAGCCTACCACCATGGAATGGAGATGTTGAGTGGTGATGGAGCAGTTGTGATCAACCACCATGAAAGGGAGATGGTAGATGGTGAGGGAGCAGTTGTAGCCTACCACCATGGAATGGAGATGTTGAGTGGTGATGGAGCAGTTGTGGTCAACCATCATGGAAGGGAGATGTGATGTGGTGAGGGAACAGTTGTGATCTACCACCATGGAAGGGAGATGTGAGGTGGTGAACAGTTGTGATCTACCACCATGGAAGGGAGATGTGATGTGGTGAGGGAACAGTTGTTGTCCACCACCATGGAAGGGAGATGTGATGTGGTGAGGGAACAGTTGTTGTCCACCACCATGGAAGGGAGATGTGATGTGGTGAGGGAACAGTTGTGATCTACCACCATGGAAGGGAGATGTGAGGTGGTGAGGGAACAGTTGTTGGCCACCATCATGGAAGGGAGATGTGAGGTGGTGAGGGAACAGTTGTTGTCCACCACCATGGAATGGAGATGTTGAGTGGTGATGGAGCAGTTGTGGTCAACCATCATGGAAGGAAGATGTGAGGTGGTGAGGTAACAGTTGTTGTCCACCACCATGGAAGAGAGATGTGAGCTGGTGAGGGAACAGTTGTTGTCCACCACCATGGAAGGGAGATGTGAGGTGGTAAGGAAGCAGTTGTTGTCCAACACCATGGAAGGGAGATGTAAGGGAGCAGTTGTGGTCTAACAGTCCCTGCCCTCAAGGAGCATACACTCTAAGAACCCTATCTCACAGAGTAGGGCAGATTTACCTATCCACATGTCCTTGGAGTGCGGGAGGAAACCCACACAAGCACAGGGAGAACATGCAAGCTCCATGAAGCTAGTGTCCTGGTTGGGGTTCAAACCAAAGACCCCAGTCCTGCAAGGCAGAAGTGCTAACCACTTAGCCACTGCACTGGCCATGTCTATAGCCTCGGGTGATGGACATTAAAGCCCCATTCCGTTATCCAATACATAGATTTTGCAAGAGGGATGTCAGCACCTGAGCTAATATCACATATACATGTACAAAAAACACACCATGGAACTGCTAAGCTGCAGTAGAATACATTTCTGGTTTTGGTTTAGATATGCTTCAATTTTTTTATGAATGAAAGCGTACATACCGTACAGTCAGGTGTCTTCCACACAACCACATGACAAGCCAGGTCCATCTTCTTCTACAATGGTGGACGGTCCTCATCGCCACATAGGATGGCACTCACGTGGTGACTAGTGAGCACCATGTTATGAGAGCCCAAGCTGCATGATGTCATTGACACCTGGGACTCAAGGAAGAGGCTAAAGGACACTGGGGGTCATTCAACCCGGAAGTGTAAAGGTGACCCGTGGTGGAGTAGGACACATTTTTGGGGGGTTTTAACCATTTTAAATGGGGGTACAGAGCTTAGAGTTGGGATTTTTTTTTAGATTTGAGTTTTTATTTGTTGTAAAGTATCAAAAATCAAACATTTGCAACCTGGGGGCTTCTAGTGTGGTTGCTTCTATAGAGGTGTACATAGAAAATAACACGAGATAAGGATCTGTAGGTTCATGATCCATGCAAGGAAGCTGCCATGGTACCATGTAAATGGATGACAGGAGAAGGAGGAAGGGTGGAGTGGAGAGGAGAGTGGGAAAGGAGGGGAGGGTGGTCCATTGGCTGGAGCAATGGACCACCAATTCCAGATCCCTCCAGGTCTGGAATTTTCGAGGACTCTCTACACATATTTGTTAACTTCTACATAGGCAGTAGAGACCTAACTGTGGATTCACACGAGGAAAGTTGGGGTGGTGTCTGGGATTCCCATTGAAGAACGAGTTCCCTCTTTTTGCATAATGCATCATATACCTGATTATAGGACGTGGTAGGTGCTCATCGTCGCCATGATGGATACCTAGAAGCACCAGGGTTGGGTTCAGCTGCAAGCTAAGTTGACCGAGACCTGTGACCAATATATCTATATGTCCAAAACATGTATAAGAATTTTCCAGTTTCAACACAGCATTTGGTTCATGTAGGGGGCCGGGTAAGGCCAGGGAAGATCTTATGGGATCTTTGAGGGGTGTAGAGTTGGGATTTCCAACATCCGAATCTCCAACATCCGGTAAGATGTTTATAGGAGACCTCTTAACCGGGCCCCAAAGCAGAAGGTCAGTTTGGTTGGGTGACTTAATGAGCAGAGGTGAGCTCCATCTTGCCCAATTCAGAGCTTATCCGGGTTGGGGGGGTGTGTTGATTGATTTGTTGCAATCCCTTTCCACTTGATCTTGCCCTAGAGGGCCAGACTGTTATCTACATGTAGGGAAGCTGGGATTTTTGGGGGAGATTTTAAAAGCAGATACATCAGCAAGTAGATACATGCGTTGAGTTTGCAAAGGTGGGTGGGGTTATGCGAGGGAGTTGACGAAAGTCATACCTGCCTTGACAATCTGGGGTGGAGGCAAATGGCCAGTAGCTCTGTAGAAAATTCCTTTCTTAGAGTCTACTAGCAGCCTGTAGTAACCTGCGACCAAACAGGCAAAACTGGTAGCTTCGGGCCAATCCATGAGCAGCACCAGGGCCTGGAAAAGAAAAGCATATCGAGAATAAATACTACGGGAATATTATTAAAGTTAAAGCACGAAACAAGATACAGCTCCACATTTTATCATTGAACAGCCATTCCCCCAGTCCAGTGACTTTGCCAAAACTGAGATGATGTCATTAGTCTGCTGCAGGTAGGAGGAAGCATTTCCTCAGTCTCCCTTCCTCCAGTGATCAGTCTGCTGCAGGTAGGAGGAAGCATTTCCTCAGTCTCCCTTCCTCCAGTGAGCAGTCTACTGCAGGCAGGAGGAAGCATTTCCTCAGTCTCCCCTCTCCATAGTGATCAGACTGCTGCAGGCAGTAAGAAGGATTTCCTCAGTCTTCCCTCCATCAGTGATCAGTCTACTGCAGGCAGGAGGAAGCATTTCATTATTCTTTCCTCCACCAGTGATCAGACTGCTGCAGGCAGGAGGAACCATTTCCTCAGTCTTCCCTCCCCCAGTGATCAGACTGCTGCAGGCAGTAGGAAGCATTTCCTCAGTCTTCCCTCCCCCAGTGATCAGTGTGCTGCAGGCAGGAGGAACCATTTCCTCAGTCTCCCCTCTCCTAGTGATCAGTCTGCTGCAGACAGGAAGAACCATTTCCTCAGTCTCTTCTCCACCAGTGATCAGACTTTACATTGTAACTGTGTAGCGGGTCACAAGGTGGGTCAGCAGGGGCAGATCTGTGTCATACATTTGTGAAAACTTTGCTGGTGCA